AACAATTCCTGCTCTCAAGGCACCCAGAGGGTTTCTCTCCCATGTGGCTTCTCCCATGATTAGTAAGATCTGAGCGCTTATTGAGGTTTTCCCCACAGTCCAAGCATTGAAGTGTTTTCTCTCCAGTATTTATTGCCTGAAGCGTAAGAAGCGCCGGTCTCAGAATGAATCCTTTCCTATAACCGAGGCATTCATAGCGTTTGTCTTCCTTGGGGGTTGTCTGCCGGGCTGTGGGATCCCTGTGTCCTTCCCCACATATAATAGATCCATCCAGTTGCTCCCTTGAGTGGTTTCCCAGCAGCCTCTTTGACCTCTGCCAATTTCCCCAGGCTTCTCCCTGTGCCAAGCACTGGGAAAAATTCCCTTCAGCTCTTCCCACAAAAATCCCCTGTGGTTCCCCGTGCCCAGGAATTTCCTGATGTTGATTCTCCTCCTTCTTCTCACTCACTCTCTCATCACCTGCTGGGAGAGAGACAATGCAGACAGGAGTCATTCTGCTGAGGAGAAATTAAGAGGAATAGAACTGAGGGAAAACCCAACATACTAAAGGTTGGAGAGATGGAGCAATTGGATCCTGCCTCCACTTCCCAGTTGGGAGGGAAACTCCTGCAGTGAACAGGACACATGGGAAGCGATGTCAGTGATATCTGCTGCCTGCAGCCCTGCTCTGGGTGAGATGAGGAAGGAACTGAGGGCACTTACTAATATGTCATTTTTGGGATTCTCAACTTTTTCTTTCATTCACCAGATGATGTGTATGTCAGCGCTCACCTGTGTGGGCACCTCTTGGGATCTCTCTTTCCTCACAGGCCTGGAGATCGGGCACCCACGGCTCTTCCCCTTGTTCCAGCCGGGTGATCAGGTCAGGTTTGGGAAGGGGAAATCCTGTACAGGGAGTGAAATCAGACCAGATCAGGGTTTCTGGAGGATTGAAAGAGCATCTGTCAGAAAGGATATTCCGTGGGTGGCACCTGTCCCAGTGCTGTGTTGGGGAATGTGGAATCTAAGAGGACAGGAACTTGGTCACTTAACCCCCTTGCGGGAGGCAGACGTCTCAGGAGGTGAGGGCAATTGTGATGCACACCCAGCTCTCGTGTTAAACCCCTGCCTATTTCTAAACCTGCGAAGCCCAGAGCCCTCCACATGACTGGAACTGTTCCCAAGGAGGAGAGAGAAGAGGGATTCTGTTTGCGACCGAGAAACAACACAGGCAGGACAATGCACGGCTTCTCCACCGTGCAAGCTAGGGGGGTTGGGTGGGGATGATTTAGTATGTGCCTTATGTTTTGACACCCTCTTCTCATTGGAGCATGATGAGGGTGTCAGACACGCAGACCTCCCCAGTTTCCAATAACCAAGGGGCCAGAAATCCCTTACCCAGCGAGGTCACTGTCTCGTAGTTCTCCTGCATGACATCCCTGTAGAGGGCTCTCTGAGCAGGGTCCAGCAAAGCCCCCTGCCCCTGGGTGAAATACACAGCCACCTCCTCGAAGGTCACCGGCATCTGAAACAACAAGAATCCCCCACTCAGCACCTGCTGCCCCAGCCACAATCCCACTAGTCATGGGGTAGGACGGAGAGAGAAGCAGAATCCTCCCCGCACCCTGCTCAGAGTAGCTGGGAGGCTTCAGGGGGTGGGAGAAGGTGAGAGCTTCTTGTCCTCCCAAGCACATGGAGCAGGGCAGGGTCTTCTCATTTCCCACTCGCCTGCCAGCCATAGGCTGAGACGGGAAGCAGAGCTCCGAGCCGGGGACAGGGACAGGAACCTTGACAGCTTCCCTTCGTATTTCACAGCAGCCTCTGGTCAGTGGGTCAGGCTCCAGCACTGGGAGTCTGGTCCATTTTCCCAGCCCTCCCCAGGGGGGTGTTTTCTGGTTCAGAAATGTGGGATTGTTTCCCCTCCCCCCCACCCGCCAATGGGCCTGTTCAGAAAATCAGGCCCAGGTTGATCACGTTCCAGCAGGTTTATCGCATCCCGTTCCACCCCGGGTGATTAACCCCTCTACACTACCCCTCCCCCACCACCAAAAGCTTCCTGAAAATCCCCTACCTGAGCTGGCTCCATCATAGCCATTTCCCTGCCCTGTCCTCTGCAAGATGAGACAATCTGAAGCAAAATGTGGACGCGATTCCTCAGCCTGTCGGAGGAGCAGGGAGATTGGGCAGGTTTCATAAGGGGCTGGAGTCCATGTCACTCCCCGATTCCCCCCAGGCTCTCTCCCTGCAGACAGACGCTCTGATTCTATGACTCTGCCATGCTGGGAACAAACCCAGTTAGTTCATTACCTCCCCGGCCAGCCCCCCCTGCTTAGAACTAACCCAGCACGTCCCTTCTAAACCTCCCCAGAGCAGCATCTCCGAGCCAACGCTGGAAAAAGAGCAGATCAAAGGAGTCACTTCAGGGTACTGCCCCACAGTGTATTGTGACCCCCTCTAGCTCTCCCCCGTCTCCCTCCGTAGTGCGGTGCTCAGCAGAGCGAGCAACTGGCTTTTCCTCTCTCAGCCCCTGCTCTTGTTCCCAGGAGATCGGACTGCCCCGGGGGAGCAGGGAATGGATCTGGGCAGGGCTGGGAGCTGGGAACCTCCCTCCCCACTTCTTGCTGCTGCTGCCCTTCAAGTCTCTCCGCTCTCCTTTTTTATCTTCTTCCCTCAACCTGGGAGAACAGGTGACTGTCCCATTACCATAGGCCTTTGCTCTCATTAGGCAGCTCAGCCACTGACACTGGTAACAGGGGTTTGAAGCTGGCTGTGTCACTGAGGGCAGGAGCTCTGGGACTCACAGACACAGGGAGCCCCTCCCCTTCTAGGCCAAACTCACCAGCCAGTCCCTGAAATCAGCTCTTTGTGCAGAGTCATTTCCCTGCCCAGCTCCAACCCTTTCTCCGTCACCTGGAGGTTCAGGCTCAGGGGCTGGTATGGTCAGAGTGGTTCCAGTCACTGAGAAAGTGCCCCTGGGGCTGGTCTCAGAGGGGTGTGATGAAGGGGGAATGTTCTTAATTTTTTCTCTGAATAGTGAGTGTGTGCCTCAGTTTCCCCATGTATTACTCAACTATCAAGCTGGTGGGATACAGGTGAGTGGTTACTGCGGAGACCTCAAGAGGGCAGGTGTCACTGCAGAGTGGCTGCGTGGTCACAGAGAATGGCCAAAATTCTGTATCCTGAGGTCTCTGAGGATGTGGGGCTGGAAGTGGGTCAGTCTCCTGATTTGGGGCTCAGCGGGGAGAGCCCAGGGCTCGGGACTCTGGATTCCCCCCAAGATGGACTTTGCTGAATGCTCCTGATTTCTGTGCTAACAAGCTCTGTTCCACACTGTTTTCTCAGTGACCAATGAACCCTTCTGTTTTCCAAGCTGGCTGAGAGTCACAGCTGACTGCGGAGGTGGGGTGCACGGCCCCTGTGAGGAGCATGTCAGGCTTCTCCTTAGGCTGCCCCCGGGGGTTCAGGCTGGGGCCATGTGCCCTCCCTGGGCCCCAGGACCGGGAAGGCTGGGGCCACATGCTCAGCAGGTCGGGGGAGATGTTGGGGGTGCTCAGGGTCTGGGGTCCTGCCCCTGCAGTGGGAGGGGGACTTGCCTCCCCCAGCCCTAGATTCATCCCCCACCAGCTGTACCTCATTCTTCTTCCCAGCTCCTAGTCCCAGGCAGGGGGGCTGAAACAATCTGTACAGTGGGGTGTCAAGGTTCCTTCCCCACTCTGAACTCTAGGGTACAGAAGTGGGGACCCACATGAAAGACCCCCTAAGCTTATTCTTACCAGCTTAAGTTAAAAACTTCCCCAAGGTACCAACTTTGCCTTGTGCTTGAACAGTATGCTGGCACCACCAAATGTTTTAAACAAAGAACAGGGAAAGAGACCACTTGGAGACGTCTTCCCCCCAAAATAGCCCCCCCAAACCCTACACACCCCCTTTCCTGGGGAGGCTTGAGAATAATATCCTAACCAATTGGTTACAAAATCATCAAAGACCCAAACCCCTGGATCTTGGAAGAATGTAAAAATCAGTCAGGTTCTTAAAAAAAGGATTTTATTTAAAAAAAAAGAGAGAGAGGTAAAACTCATCTCTGTAAAATCAGGATGGAAAATACTTTACAGGGCATTCAGATTCAAAACACAGAGGATCCCCCTCTGGGCAAAACCTTAAAGTTACAGAAAACAGGAATAAACCCCCCCTCTTAACACAGGGAAAATTCACATAAAACAAAAGATAAACGAATCCGCCTTGCCTGTACTTATACTGGTTGCAAAATTGGAGACTTGGATTAGGATGGGTTGGAGAAGATGGATTTCTGTCTGGCCTCTCTCAGTCCCAAGAGAGAACAACCAGGTAAACAAAGAGCACAAACAAAAGCCTTCCCCGCCCCCCCCTGCAAGATTTGAAAGTATCTTTTCCCCTTATTGGTCCTTTGGGTCAGGTGCCAGCCAGGTTAGCTGAGCTTCTGAACCCTTCACAGGTAACAGGATGTTGCCTTTGGCCAGGAGGGATTTTATAGCACTGTGTACAGAAAAGTGGTTTCCCTTCCCTTTATATTTATAACAGGGGGGCTGAGAGCCATTGAACCAAACTGTAAAGCCTGGATAGGATGGAAACCCCTTCAAGCCAGGGGGTGCAGCAGGGCCCCGCCAGCCCAGATCCAGAGCCTGTGCTGCCCCCCCCCCCGATTGTGCCCCTGGGCCCCGCTCCCTCCCCAACCCCCAGCTGGGGCCCCCACCCTGCATTCAGTTTGGCCCCGGCCCCCCTTCTGTCCCTCCCTATTTGCCCCCCTCAGATCTCCCTGATCTGCAGTCCCCGTCCACACCAGCCCAGCCAGGGGCAGGGAAACAAAGCAGCAGATTGCGGAGGGGGGGTAACGTGATCCTGCCCCCGCCCCGCACACGCCGGGAGCGGGCGGCAGCTTTCCCAGGCCCGGGGCAGGGAATCGCAGCCCGCTCCGCGGGGAGCAACCCGAGGCCAAACCCACCCCCTGGAGCCCGGGGGTGACGGGGGGGGCGGGTCTCTCTTACCTTCCCTCCGAGCGGGGCCCCCCGGGGCAGGGGCCGGGCCGGGAAGGGGCCCTGGCCGGGCTGGGGGCTCTGCCCTGGGAGAGGCTCCCGGGGAGCAGCGGGCAGGGCCCGGCTGGAGGTTCCCCTCTCCCGGCTGCAGCCCGGGCTCCGGGCTCCCAGCACCAGCCGCCGGGGCTCGGGGATCTCGCCGGGAGCCAGAGTCCCCGCAGCGGCTGCGAGTCACTTCCTGCGGCCGGGCCTGAGACCCGCGATCGCTCCCCCCAGAGCCGCCCCCCAGCCGCTCCTGGGTCCTAGCGATCAACCCAGCAGCCTGCGCCTCCCATCTCTGTGTCAGGTGTCGTGTTTTCAAGTGCTCCGCCTAGGAATGTGCTACCGGGAGCGGTTACCGATACGTAGTGGAGGGTAAGAAACTGCTAGTGTTGTAAACTGCTACCTAATGTAGCAAATGCCTACGGGCAGCAGCTTCTTCCACTGCAGTGTAGGTGAAATTGCTACACGTAGAAAAGTGCTCGCTCGCTGTCTCCCTCTCGCTCCCTGTAGCAGTTATTTCTATGTGTAGATTGTAAGAAACAGCTTTTGTAAACAGAGGCTCCTTCCCGCACAGGTCATGTTTGCTAAACCTTAATTTTTTTTCTCTTCTCTGGCCTCTCTCCAATTTTTACTCCAGCTGAGAGCTCATCAGCCCAGAGGAGAGCCGATATCCCAGAGTGACGGTCTGTTTTCTTGCATAGGTCCCTTTCCACAGTACTCGGATTCAGCTTGTGGTCCACTATGACCCTCCGATCCCTTTCCACAGGACTCCTTCCTAGGAAGTCGTTTCCCATTTTGTATGCTTCCAGCTTGTTATCATTCACAAAAGTTTATAATTGTACTCTCTATGCCATTATCTCAATCATTCATTCAGATTTTGAATAGAAACTTATCCAGAACTGATCCCTGCAGAACCCCACTGGTTATGCCCTTTCAGCCTGATTCAGCCCTTTCAGCCTGTGAATCACTTGCACCCATCTTATTTTAGTTCCATCTAGGTGGCATTTCCATAGTTTGTTTATGAGAAGGTCATGGGAGACCTGCAACACTGCAATCTGATGAAGCTAATTCCTCCAGATAGCAGTTTCTCAACACTGTAGGTAGGTGAGACTGCTCTCTGCAGCAATTAGCTACATCAGATGGCCTTTGTTAGCATCGTAGGACCTGTCGCTGCTGCAGGTAGCCTGGTCCTACAGATCGCACATCCCTGCAGGTTGCAATTTCTTACACATATATGGGTGTGAAAATGCTATCTGTAACACTGCAATCTGATGAAGTTAATTCCTACAGATAGCAGTCTCACGTACCTGTGGTGTGAGAAACTGCTCTCTGTAGAAATTAGCTACATCAGATGGCCTCTTTTAGCAAAGTAGGACCTGTCGCAGCTGCATATGTTTCTGGATGGTACAAGGCCCTGTATACACATTAACCCTCATGGGGCACATCACTATCACTCTCACAAGACAGGATACTAGATTAGGCGGACTATTGGTCTGACCCATGATGGCAGTCATTACAATATATTTTTTTCCATGGAGAAAGACATTATACGAGCTAATATACTGCCTTTATTCAATATTTGAGAATCAAGTTGTACACAGTGGCATGAGGAAAAACACTCAGGGCTAGACTGAGAGACAAAATAACAGTTGCAACAATGCAATCCCCATTGGTAGCTTGACTCCAAAAGTTTTGACACTAGGCCAGAAATTCAGTGAGCTCTAAACTGAGAAGAAAAAAAATTAAATTTAAAAATTCAGGGAATTCAGGGAATCCCAGCAACAGACAAGACAACTGCGAGGAGACTCTATGCAATCAGATACAGTGATAAGGGATTCTTTGTTTCTGAGGGGATATATGTAAAATGTTTCACTGAATTAAGTCTCAGGGATTATTTACACTGACAATTAAAGTGCTCTAACTTGCTGGCTCAGGAGGGTGAAAATCACCCCCCTGAGCGCAGCAAGTGTGAGCTCTTTAAAGCGCTCGTGTGGACAGGCTCGGCTCCCGGTGCTCGGAGCTAATCCCCTCGTCGAGGTGGATTACCAGGAGCACTGGCACCCGCGGCAGCGCTTTGAACTTTCTCGTGTAGACGTAGCCTCAGTGGGTTAGATCAGACCAAGAGGAGCGGCACTGACTAGGCATTGGGATGCCTGTGCCTTTAAGAACCCAGCCCTGGGAAGCCCATGCTCAGAGGTGCTGTCTGTGAGAGGGGAAATTAAAAAGCCCCTTTGCCCCCCACCATTTTTGCAAGCACTGGTGTCTCAGTCCCACTGGGGTAACTGTTACCCCCTGTGGCCCTGCCTGTGCCGGGTTTTGCCCTCTGACACCCTCTGCCAGCACCTCACCCCAAGCTTAACTCCTGCTCCACCTCCCCAGCCCTGATTTTGCCTTTTAGCCCCTCTCCTAATGCTGCCTCCAGCTGCTTGACCCCCCATCAGTCAATTTCCACCCCCTGCTCAGACCCTGGCCACCCCCCTGCTCCATTTTGCCCCCTTTGCCCCTTTTTAACCCCTGTAAATAGCAGTCAGCAGATTTTTACTGCTAATAAGGGCAGGGTGAAGGGCAGTGGCTTCAGTAGATGTACTGAGGACAGAAGGGAGGGACCGTCTTCCATCTAGTGTGGGGAATGGGTGACACATTTTTCTAAAATACTGAATGAACTTTAGGGGAAACCACTAAACATGCGCAGAGGTAAGTGGGGAAATGGCCCCGCTATTGTGGGGAACTTTCCTAACTTAAACACCTCCTGGGTGGAATCGAATAGCAGAAGGATCTGAGTCCTCGCTCCCACTCCCTTCACCCAGAGCCTGCCTCACCTTGAGGGCTCCTATCAAGGTTCCTTCCCCACTCTGAACTCTAGGGTACAGATGTGGGGACCTGCATGAAAAACCCCCTAAGCTTATTTTTACCAGCTGAGGTTAAAACTTCCCCAAAGTACAAACTATTTTACCTTTTGCCCTTGGACTTTATTGCTGCCACCACCAAGCATTTAACAAATATATAACCGGGAAAGAGCCCGCTTGGAAACGTCTTTCCCCCCAATCCTTCCAAGCCCTATGCTCCCTTTCCTGGGGAAGGCTTGATAAAAATCCTCACCAATTTGCATAGGTGACCACAGACCCAAACCCTTGGATCTTAAGAACAATGAAAAAGCAATCAGGTTCTTAAAAGAAGAATTTTAATTGAAGAAAAAAAGTAAAAGAATCACCTCTGTAAAATCAGGATGGTAAATACCTTACAGGGTAATCAGATTCAAAACATGAATCAGATTCAAAATCCCTCTAGGCAAAACCTTAAGTTACAAAAAGACGCAAAAACAGGAGTATACGTTCCATTCAGCACAACTTATTTTATCAGCCATTTAAACAAAACAGAAAAGGAGTACTTGTGGCACCTTAGAGACTAACCAATTTATTTGAGCATGAGCTTTCGTGAGCTACAGCTCACTTCATCAGATGTTTACCGTGGAAACTGCAGCAGACTTTATATACACACAGAGAATATGAAACAATACCTCCTCCCACCCCACTGTCCTGCTGGTAATAGCTTATGTAAAGTGATCAACAGGTGGGCCATTTCCAGCACAAATCCAGGTTTTCTCACCCTCCACCCCCCCACACAAATTCACTCTCCTGCTGGTGCTAGCCCATCCAAAGTGACAACTCTTTACATAATCAAGTCGGGCTATTTCCTGCATAGATCCAGGTTTTCTCACATCCCCCCCACCCCCATACACACACAAAAATGAGGAGACAAGATACTTTCAAAGCTGGAGGGGGGGAGAAACAAAGTTTCTCTCTGTCTGTGTGTTGCTTTTGCCGAGACCAGAGCAGAAATGCAAGTCAGATCTCCTGTAAAGAGTTAATAAGCAATCTAGTTAGATATGCCTTAGATTCTGTAGCTCACGAAAGCTCATGCTCAAATAAATTGGTTAGTCTCTAAGGTGCCACAAGTACTCCTTTTCTTTTTGCGAATAGAGACTAACACGGCTGTTCCTCTGAAACCTGTCTCCTCATTGGTCATTTTGGTCAGGTGCCAGCGAGGTTATCCTAGCTTCTTAACCCTTTACAGGTGAAAGGGTTTTTCCTCTGGCCAGGAGGGATTTTAAAGGTGTTTACCCTTCCCTTTATATTTATGACACTCCCCTTCCACTCTCCTGTGTGGCAAAGTCCTTATAACCCCGACCAGGCAGGGCCCAGGCTTCCTGAAGGGCTCAGCCCCCTGACCTGGTTATGACCACTCAGGACACAGGTTAGAGCAAACCCACTCTGGGTACTTTCTCCGCTCTGGATGCTTCCCTGATCTCTTCCCTGACCATTGTCTATGCCCCAGAACAAGTGCAATTTACTAACCAGCAAGTAATTTAAAACAATCAGGAAGCAATGAGAAAGGTGAAAGAAAAACACTTAGCCCCACTCTATGGGCTCCGGGGAAGCACAAACAGCATCTCTGGGATGCCCGGGCAGTTCACAGTCTGTCCCTCCCACGTCCCAGGCCTCCTGCCCAGGCCCTGGCTGTGCTGCAGGGATGCTGCGGGTCAGACAGGTGCTCTGGTGGTGGCCACACGCCCTCAGGCTCTCGGTGACAGGACTTTTCTTCCCAGTGTCCCCGGAAAGGTGCAAACCAGAGGACAAATAAAAAGCCCCCCCCCCCCCCCACTTGGTCTATAAATATAGACTCTAAAAAGTGAGAACTTTGGGGTCTGATTCTGCAAACCAACTTCCAGGAGCATCAGATGAGCATCTGACAAGGCCCTGCTCCCTCCTCATGTCCAGGCCACCTGGCCAGTGGCTTGGCGTGAGCAACTCTAAGGCTGGTAACTATGATAACAACCTTGCAGAACCTGTGTGTGTGTGTGTGTGTTTGTATGAATGAATGTGTGAATAAATATGAGATTGAATGGAATGTTATAGCGATAACTAACTGCTTACTATGATTCTTTGTGTATTCACAATAAATGTGGTATTTTGCCTTTTTCCCTTTAATAAGATCCTGTTGGTTTTTATTTTATTGGTATAACACCAGATCAAGGCCTCCGTCCTGTGGAACCCAGGGGGAGGGCAGGGACAGAACTAGGTCAGCAGCCAGAAGTGCTCAAAGATCATGAGTCCAACCCCCTGCTCCCCTCCCCCCAATCAGTTACAGAGATTACCAAGTGTGGGGGCTTTTTATTTGTCCTCTGGATTTGCACCTTTCCGGGGACACCGGGAAAAAGGTCCTGTCACCTAGAGCTTGAGGGCGTGTGGCCACCGCCAGAGCACGTGTCTGACCCACGGCATCCCTGCAGCACAGCCAGGGCCTGGGCAGGAGGCCTGGGACGTGGGAGGGATGGACTGTGAACTGCCCCCGTGCCCACAGAGTGGGGCTAAGTGTTTTCCTTTCGCCTTTCTCATTCTTTCCTGATTATTTTTTTAATTAGTTGCTGTTTAGTAAATTGCATTTGTTCTGGAGTATAGACAATGGTCAGGGAGGAGGTCAGGGAAGCGTCCAGAGCAGAGAAAGTACCCTGGAGTGGGCACGCTCCAGCGCGTGTCCTGCGTGGTCACACCAAGGTTGGGGGCCGAGCCCCCCAGGAAGCCTGGGCCCAGCCTTGTCGGGGTTATAAGGACTTTACCACACAGGAGAGTGGAAGGGGAACCCTCAAGGTGAGGCAGGCTCTGGGTGAGGGAAGAGGGAGCAAGGACTCAGATCCTTCTGCTGTTTGATTCCACAGCAGTGGGGGGTAAAGTCAGGAAAGTTCCCCACAGTAATGGGACCATTTCCCCGCTTACCTCCCTGCATGTTGACTGGCTTCCCCTAAAGTTCATTCAATATTTTAGGGAAAAGTGTCAGAGCTGGCCACACTCTGAGGCCACCAAAAATGTGGCCATGAGAACCCCTGGGCTCGATGCTCATGAGGGGCCCTTCTGACCTTACAGTCTGTGAGTGTAACAGGAGCCGGGCACAGGGATGCTGATCCTTCGGTGGGTTGATCGCTAGGACCCAGGAGCGGCTGGGGGGCGGCTCTGGGGGGAGCGATCGCGGGGCTCAGGCCCGGCCCAGGAAGTGACTCGCAGCCGCTGCGGGGACTCTGGCTCCCGGCGAGATCCCCGAGCCCCGGCGGCTGGTGCTGGGAGCCCGGAGCCCGGGCTGCAGCCGGGAGAGGGGAACCTCCAGCCGTGGCCCTGCCCGCTGCTCCCGAGGAGCCTCTCCCAGGGCAGAGCCCCCAGCCCGGCCAGGGCCCCTTCCCGGCCCGGCCCCTGCCCCGGGGGGCCCCGCTCGGGGGGAAGGTAAGAGAGACCCGCCCCCCCCCCGGCACCCCCGGGCTGCAGGGGGCGGGTTTGGCCCCGGGCTGCTCCCCGCGGAGCCGGCTGCGATTCCCTGCCCCGGGCCTGGGAAAGTTGCCGACAGCTCCCGGCGTGTGCGGGGCGGGGGCAGGATCACGTTACCCCCCGCTCCCCCCACTTGCTGCTTTGTTTCCCTGCCCCGGCCGGGTTGGTGCGGACGGAGGCTGCAGCTCAGGGAGATATGAGGGGGGCAAATAGGGAGGGGCAGAAGGTTGGCAGGGGCTAAACTGGATGCAGGATGGGGGGCCCCAGCTGGGGGTCGGGGAGGGAGCGGGGCCCAGGGGCACAGTCAGGGTGGGTGGGTGGGGGGGCAGCACAGGCGCTGGATCTAGGCTAGCGGGGCCCTGCCGCACCCCCTGGCTTGAAGGGGTTTCCATCCTATCCAGGCTTTACAGTTTGGTTCAATGGCTCTCAGTGCTTCCCCCTCCGTACAGATTGTTTCAGGCCCCCTGCCTGGGACTAGGAGCCGGGGATAACAATGGGTACAGCTGGTGGGGGGGGTGAGCCCTCCTCGCATTGTAGGGACAGGACCCTAACCCCTGAGCACCCCCAACATCCCCCCACTGAGCATGTGGCCCCAGCCTTCCCGGTCCTGGGGCCCAGGGAGGGCACATGGCCCCAGTCTGAACCCCAGGGGCAGCCGAAGGAGAAGCCTGACATGCTCCTCACAGGGGCCGTGCACCCCACCTCCGCAGTCAGCTGTGACTCTCAGCCAGCCTGGAAAACAGAAGGGTTTGTTGGTCGCTGGGAAGGCGGCATAGAACAGAGCTTGTTAGCACAGAAACCAAGAGCGTTCGGCAACGTCTGGCTTGGGGGGAATCCAGGGTCTTGAGTCCTGGGCTCTCCCCGCTGAGTCCCAAACCAGGAGACTGAGCCGCTTCCAGCCCCCCATCCACACTGACACCCAGCTGCCCCTCCCCCATGCTTTCTCTCTTTCCCAGGAAAACAGGTCACCTGGCCTCCCCCTCTCTCTTTGTTCTCCAACACCTTTGGCTGGCTCCCTGCAGAGGAGGGGCTCTGGCCATCACTTGCCAGGATAGAGAATTTTGGCCATTTTCTACACCCAGGCAGCCACTCTGCCATCACGCCTGCCCTCTAGAGGTCTCCACAATGATCACACCCCTGTATCCCACCAGCTTGATACTTGTGTAACACATGGGGAAACTGAGGCACACACACAGTACTCAGAGAAAACATTAAGAACAATCCCGCTTCATGAATCCCTCTGAGACCAGCCCAGGGGCACTTTCTGCAGTGGCTGGAACTCCTCTGACCACACCAGCCCCTGAGCCTGAGCCTGCAGATGATGGAGAGACCTGGGGAAAGGGCTGGAGCTGGGCAGGAAAATGACTCTGCACGGAAGGCGCCTTTCAGGGACTAGCTGGTGAGTTTGGCCTACAAGGGGAGGGTCTCCCTGTGTCTGTGAGTACCAGAGCTTCTGTCCTCAGTGACACAGCCTGGTTCAACCCCCATTACCAGTGTCCGTGGCTGAGCCACCTAATGAGAGCAAAGACCCAAGACAATGGGGCAGTCGCCAGTTCTCCCAGGGCGAGGGAAGAAGATAAAAAGGGAGAGTGGAGAGACTTGAAGGGGCAGCAGGAGCAGGAAGTGGGGAGGGAGGTTCCCAGCTCTGCCCAGATTCATTCCCTGCACCCCTGCGGCAGTCAGCTCTCCTGGGAACAAGGGCAGGAGCTGAGAGAGGAAAAGCCAGTTGCTTGCTCTGCTGAGCACCGCACTACTTAGGGAGATGGGGGAGAGCTAGAGGGGGTCACAATACACTGTGGGGCAGTACCCTGAAGTGACTCCTTTGATTCTGCTCTTTTTCCAGCGTTTGGCTCAGAGATGCTGCTCTGGGGAGGTTTAGAAGGGACGTGGTGGGTTAGTTCTAAGCAGAGGGGGCTGGCCGGGGAGGTAATGAACTAACTGGGTTTGTTCCCAGCATGGCAGAGTCATAGAATCAGAGCGTCTGTCTGCAGGGAGAGAGCCTGGGGGGAATCGGGGAGTGACATGGACTCCAGCCCCTTATGAAACCTGCCCAATCTCCCTGCTCCTCCGACAGGCTGAGGAATCGCGTCCACGTTTCGCTTCAGATTGTCCCATCTTGCAGCGGACAGGGCAGGGAAATGGCTGTGATGGAGCCAGCTCAGGTAGGGGATTTTCAGGGAGCTTTTGGTGGTGGGGGAGGGGCATCGTAGAGGGGTTAATCACCCGGCGTGGGACGGGGTGTGATAAACCTGCTGGAACATGATCGACCTGGGCCTGATTCTCTGAACAGGCCCACTGGTGGGTAGGGGGGAAGGGGGAAATATTCCCCCATTTCTGAAACAGGGAACAGCCCCCCTGGGCAGGGCTGGGAAAACGACCAGACTCCCAGTGCTGGAGCCTGACCCCACTGGCCAGAGGCTGCTGTGAAGTACGAAGGGAAGCTGTCGGGATTCCTGTCCCTGTCCCCTGCTCCGGCTCGGAGCTCTGCTTCCCGTCTCAGCCTGTGGCTGGCAGGCGAGTGGGAAATGTGAAGAGCCTGCCCTCCTCCATCTGCTGGGGGGGCGCGTTAATAAGTTCTCACCTTCTCCCCACCCCCTGGAGCCTCCTGGCTGCTCTGAGCAGGGTGGGGGGAGGATTCTGCTTCTCTAGCCCTCCTCCCCCGTGACTAGCGGGATTGTGGCTGGGGCGGCAGATGCTGAGCGGGGGACTCTTGTTGTTCCAGACGCCGGTGACCTTCGAGGAGGTGGCTGTGTATTTCACCCAGGGGCAGGGGGCTCTGCTGGACCCCGCTCAGAGAGCCCTCTACAGGGACGTCATGCAGGAGAACTACGAGACAGTGACCTCGCTGGGTAAGGGATTCGTGGCTCCTTGGTTATTGGAAGCTGCGGGGTGCAGGGAGGGTTTGTGTGTCTGGCACCGCTGAGGTTCTTCCCTCATCACACTCCAATGAGACCAGGGTGTCAAAACCTAAGGCGCATACTAAATCATCCCCACCAGTACCCCGTAGCTTGCAAGGTGAAGAACTCTTGTATTATCCTGTCTGTGTTGTTTCTCGGTCACTCACAGAATCCTTCTTCTCCCTCCTCCTTGGTCTGACCTCCGTATGAGGGCTCTGGGCTCCGCAGGTTTAGAAATAGGCAGGGGTTTAACACGAGAGCTGGGTGTGCATCACAATTCCCCTCACCTCCCCAGACGTCTGCCTCCCCCGAGGGGGCTCAGTATCCACGTCCCCATCCTCTTAGATTCTACTTTCCACAGCACAGAACAGGGACAGGTGCCGCCCACGGAATGTCCTTTCTGACAGACGCTCTCTCAGTCCTCCATACCCTCCTCTGATCTGAATTGACCACCTGTACAGGATTCCCCCTTCCCAAACCTGACCTGATCGCCCGACTGGAACGAGGGGAAGAGCCGTGGGTGCCCGATCTCCAGGCCGGTGAGGAAAGAGAGATCCCGAGAGTCAGCCACACAGGTGAGGACTGACACAGAAACCATCTGGGGAATGAAGGAAAAAATTGAGAATCCCAGAACCGTGGTATCAGTAAGTTTCCTCAGTTCCTTCCTCATCTCACCCAGGGCAGGGCTGCAGTCAGGAGCTATCACTGACATTGTTTCCCACATGTCCTGTTACTTGCAAGTGTTTCCTTCCCAACGATCCTTCTCTGTGAAAGTTTGGGTGGGATTTGGAGGCAGAATCCAATTGCTCCATCTATGCAGCTTTACTATGTTGGGTTTTCCCTCGGTGCTATTCCTCTTAATTTTTCCCTAGCACAATGACTCCTGTCCGGATTGTCTCTCTGTCCCAGCAGGTGATGAGAGAGTGAGTGAAAACGAGGAGGAGAATCAACAGCAGGAGATTCCTGGGTACAGGGAATCACAGGGCACCTTTGTGGGAAGACCCCATAAGTGCTTAAACTGTGGAAAAAGTTTCATATGGAGGTCACAACTTGTTTTACATCATCGAATCCACACAGGAGAGAGACCCCACAAGTGCTTAGACTGTGGGAAAAGTTTCATACGGAGGTCAAACCTTGTTAAACATCAAGCAGTCCACACTGAAGAGAGACCTCATAAGTGCTTAGATTGTGGAAAAAGTTTCATACGGAGGTCACAACTTGTTTTACATCAGGAATGCCACACTGAAGGGAGACCCCATAAGTGCTTAATCTGTGGGAAACGTTTCATATGGAAGATAGACCATGTTAAACATCAAGCAATCCACACTGGAGAGAGACCCCATAAGTGCTTAGACTGTGGGAAAAGTTTCATACAGAGGTCACACCTTGTTAGACATCAGGCAATCCACACAAGAGAGAGACCCCATAAGTGCTTAGACTGTGGAAAAAGTTTCATCCCCCCCCCTCCTTTAACATCAAGCAATCCACACTAGAGAACCCCATAGGCTAACTGGGAGGTCAACTTTTTTACATCCGAATCCACACAGGAACCCCAAAATGGGGTGGGGGAAAATTTAAAGGGGGGCCCACCCTACTTAATCATCAGGCAATCCACACAGGGAGAGAGACCCCATAAGTGCTTAGCCTGTAGAAAAAGTTTCATACGGAGGTCACACCTTGTTAGACATCAGGAACGCCACACTGGAGGGAGAGCCCCATAAGTGCTTAATCTGCGGGAAACGTTTCATATGGAAGATAGACCATGTTAAACATCAAGCAATCCACACTGGAGAGAGACCCCATAAGTGCTTACTCTGTGGGAAAAGTTTCATACTTAGATCATACCTAGTTTTACATCATCGAATCCACACAGGCGAGAGACCCCATAAGTGCTTGGACTGTGGGAAAAGTTTCATACGGAGGTCAACCCTACTTAATCATCAGGCAATCCACACGGGAGAGAGACCTCATAAGTGCTTAGACTGTGGGAAAAGTTTCATACGGTCACACCTTGTTAGACATCAGGCAATCCACACAAGAGAGAAACCCCATAAGTGCTTAGACTGTGGAAAAAGTTTCATACGGAGGTCAACCCTACTTAATCATCAGGCAATCCACACGGGAGAGAGACCCCATAAGTGCTTAGCCTGTAGAAAAAGTTTCATACGGAGGTCACACCTTGTTAGACATCAGGAACGCCACACTGGAGGGAGACCCCATAAGTGCTTAATCTGCGGGAAACGTTTCATATGCAAGTTAGACCATGTTAAACATCAAGCAATCCACACTGGAGAGAGACCCCACAAGTGCTTACTCTGTGGGAAAAGCTTCATACTTAGATCATACCTTGTTTTACATCATCGAGTCCACACAGGAGAGAGACCCCATAAGTGCTTAGACTGTGGGAAAAGTTTCATACGGAGGTCAACGCTACTTAGTCATCAGGCAATCCACACTGGAGAGAGACCTCATAAGTGCTTAGACTGTGGGAAAAGTTTCATACAGAGGTCACGCCTTGTTAGACATCAGGCAATCCACAAAGGAGAGAGACCCTATAAGTGCTTAGACTGTGGGAAAAGTTTCATATGGAGGTCAGACCTTGTTAAACATCAAGCAGTCCACACAGGAGAGAGACCTCATAAGTGCTTAGATTGTGGAAAAAGTTTTATACAGCGATCAACCCTACTTGATCATCAGGCAATCCACACTGGAGAGAGACCCCATAAATGCTTAATCTGTGGGAAAAGTTTCATACGGAGGTCAGATCTTGTTAAACATCAAGCAGTCCACACTGGAGAGAGACCCCATAAATGCTTAATCTGTGGGAAAAGTTTCATACGGAGGTCAGATCTTGTTAAACATCAAGCAGTCCACACTGGAGAGAGACCCCATAAATGCTTAATCTGTGGGAAAAGTTTCATACGGAGGTCAAACCTTGCAAAACATCAGATAATCCACACAGGAAAGAAATCCCATAAATGTTTGGACTGTGGGAAAAGTTTTACACAAAGATCAAATCTTATGGCACATCAGGCAATCCACACAGGAGAGAGACCTCATAAGTGCTTGGACTGTGGGAAAAGTTTCACATGGAGATCAGTCCTGGTTACACATCAGAGATTACACACAGGAGAGAGACCCCATAAGTGCTTAGACTGTGGGAAAAGTTTCATACAGAGGTCCCACTGTGTTAAACATCAAGCCGTCCACAGTGGAGAGAGATCTCATAAGTGCTCAGAGTGTGGAAAAAGTTTCATAATGCGGTCAACGCTACTTAATCATCAGGCAATCCACACTGGAGAGAGACCCCATAAATGTTTAATCTGTGGAAAAAGTTTCATACGGAGGTCAGGCCTTGTTAAACATCAGGCTATCCACACTGGAGAGAGACCTCATAAGTGCTTAGACTGTGAGAAAAGTTTTATCCAGAGGTCCCACCTTGTTAGACATCAGGCAGTCCACACTGGAGAGAGACCTCATAAGTGCTTAGACTGTGGGAAAAGTTTTATTCAGAGGTCCCACCTTGTTAGACATCAGGCAATCCACACAGGAGAGATACCCCATAAGTGCTTAGACTGTGGGAAAAGTTTTATCCAAAGGTCCCACCTTGTTAAACATCAAGCAATCCATACAAGAGGGAGACCATAAGACTCTTGGAAAGGTTTCAGAAACAGATTAGCCCTTCTAAAGATCAGGCAATCCACACACGCGAGAGAACCCCGTAAGTGCTTAGACTATGGAAAAATGTTTCAAATAGATGTCATCCCTTGTTTTACATCAGAGAATCCACACAGAGGAGTGACCCCATAACTGCTTAGCCTGTGAAAGACCTTTTAAATGGAGGTCAGAACTTGTTTCAAATTAGGCAATTCACACAAGAGAGAGACCCTATAAGTGTTTGGACCATGTGAAAAGTTTCACACAAAGATCGAATCTTATAACACTCAGAGGATCCACACAGGAGAGAGACCGCATCAGTGCTCAGACTGGAAAAAGTTTCCTACATAGGTCAGACCTCGTTAAACATCAGCTAATCCACAGAGGAGAGAGATCCCATAAGTGCTTAGGCTGTGGGTAAAGTTTTATAAGGAGCTCAGCCCATGTTTTAGATCAGAGAATCCACACAGGAGACCCCATAAGTGCTCAGACTATGGAGAAACTTTCATACCGTGGTCAAGGCTTCTTAATTATCAGGCAGTCCTCAAAAGAGGGAGACTCCGTAAGTGCTTAGACTGTGGAAAAAGTTTCATACAGAGGTCAGACCTTGTTAAACATCAGACAATCCACACTGAAGAGAGATCCGATAAGTGCTTAGACCAGGGGTGGGCAAACTTTTTGAGGACCAGACCACATCGGGGTTGAAAACTTATATGGAGGGCCGGGGCAGGGAAGGCTGTGCCTCCCCAAACAGCCTGGACCCGCCTCCATCTGACCCCCTCCCACTTCCTGCCTTCTGACTGCCCCCCTCAGTATCCCTGATCCATCCAATCCCTCCTGCTCCTTGTCCCCTGACCGCCCCCTCCAGAGACCCCCACCCACCCCTAACCACCCCCCAGGACCTCATCTGAAGGATTCATGCAGGGTTCATGCACTTGGCAACATTTAGGGCACACCCTGAGTGTTGTGTAGGAGCAGTGCACACACGGCTCCTCTCAAGGGCATGAACCTTGGAAACTCGCCCTAAGGACATGAACCGTGGGAAGCCTCCCAGGACTGGGCTCAAGGCCCAAGAGCAAGGAATGCGGTAGATAGAAATTGGTTAATAAGAATCTTAAACAAAGCCAGTGTATTCCTTTTATCTGTTGGAGTATGTAATGCGCAGGAGGAGGGGGAGAATAAAAGAGAGGGTGGAAAGCTGACAAGGCAGACCAGCCCGTCGGCAGACCAGCCCGCTTGCTTGCTTAAAGCTTTGTCTGTCTTGTATTTGGACTGCAACACTCATCCCCTATCTAAACCCCCTGACTGCCCCCTCCAGGGGCCCCTGCCCCAAACCACCTCCCCAGGACCCCACCCCCTTCCCATTCCCCCGTGCTCCCTGTCCCCTGACTGCTCCAACCCCTATCCACACCCCTGCCCCCTGACAGGCCCCCGGGACTCCCACACCTATCCAATCCCCCCACGTTCCCCACCCCCTGACCGCCCCCCCCAAAACATCCGCCCATCCAACAGCCCCCGTCCCCTTACTCCCCCCTGGGACTCCCTGCCCCTTATCCAACCCTCCGGCCCCGGCCCCCTTACCATGCTGCTGGTGGCCCGGCAGGAGCCAGACACGCTGCACCACTCTCCCGGAGGAGCACGCAGCCCCACCCCTCAGAGCGCTGCCCGCACGGTGCAGCTGAGGCTCCGGGAGAGCAGGGAAGGTAGGGGATGGGCTGGGAGCAGACTCCCCCGCCGGGCGCTCAGGCGGGTCGGTCAGGACAGTCCCGCAGGCCGGATGTGGCCCGCAGCCCGTAGTTTGGCCACCCCTGGCTTAGACTGTGGGAAACATTTCAGAAACTGATGAGTCCTTGTTCTACATCAAGGAATCCACAAGACTCCATAAGTGCTTGGACTGAGCAAAAGTTGTACACAGAGATCACACCTCATTAAACATGGGAGAATTCACACACGATCTAAACTTCTGTGACACCTGGCCCAAAAGAGTTAAGAACCTTGCAGGCTAATTGACCCAGATTCAACCTTTAGAGACATGTTAGAAAACTGTGTAAATGGTATTTGGGGCCACTCCAAGTAATATAGAGTAGAACTTTGAAATGTAAACTGGTGTTGTTAAAAAATTGGAAGAAGATAGTAGGACTGTTGATTAATTGCAGTTAATTCGTGTGATTAACTCAAAAAAATTCATTGGGGTTAGAAAAATTAATTTCAATGAATCACATTGTAAAACAATAGAATACCAATTGGAATTTGTTAAATGTTTTTGGATGTTTTTCTGCGTTTTCTCATATGCTGATTTCTCACAACAAAGAATAGAAAGTGTACAGTGCTCACTTTATATTATTTTTTATTACAAATATTTGTACTATAAACATTCAAAACACAAATAGTATTTTTCAGTTCACCTCATACAAGTACTGTAGTGAAATCTCTTTATCAGGAAAGTGTAACTTAGAAACATAGATGATTTTAATTATATAAGTGCACTCAAAAATAAAGCAATTAAGACCTTTAGAGACTAGAAGTCCACTCAGTGCTACTTCTTTTTCTGCCAATCGCTAAGGCTTGGTCTATGCTACGAGTTTATGTTGGATTTAGCAGCGTTAAATCGAATTAACCCTGCATCCGTCCACACAATGAAGCCATTTTTTCGACATAAAAAAAGGGCTCTTAAAACCGATTTCTGTACTCCTCCCCAATGAGGGGATTAGCGCTGAAATCGACATCGCTGTTTCGAATTAGGGTTAGTGTGGACGCAATTCAAAGGTATTGGCCTCTGGGAGCTATCCCACAGTGCACCACTGTGACCGTTCTGGACAGCACTCTGAACTCGGATGCACTGGCCAGGTGTACAGGAAAAGCCCCAGGAACTTTTGTAACTCATTTCCTGTTCACCCCAGGCGAGTTCATCAGCACAGGTGACCATGCAGTCTCAGAATTGAAAAAGAGCTCCAGCATGGACCGAATGGGAGGGACTGGATCTGATCGCTGTATGGGGAGAGGAATCCGTGCTATCAGAACAATGTTCCAAAAGACGAAATGCCAAAACATTTCAAAAAATCTCCGAGGCCATGAGGGACAGAGGCTACAGCAGGGACGCAACACAGTGCCGCGTGAAACTTAAGGAGCTCAGACAAGCGTACCAGAAAACCAAAGAATCAAACAGACGCTCCGGGACAGAGCCCCAGACATGCCGCTTCTACGCTGAGCTGCATGCAATTCTAGGGGGAGCCGCCACCACTACCCCACCCCTGTCCGTGGACTCCAATGATGGGGTACTCTCCTCCATGCCTGAGGATTTTTCAGATGGGGAAGATGAGGAGGAGGAGGACGAGCTTAAGGAGAGCACACAGCACACCATTCTCCCCGACAGCCAGGATCTTTTTATCACCCTGACTGAAATACCCTCCCAACCCAACCAAGCCGGAGAAGGGACCTCTGGTGAGTGTACCCTTTTAAATATAATACATGTTATAAAAGCAAGTGTTTTTTAATGATTAAGTAGCCCTGAGGACGGGGGATGCATTCGTGGCCAGTATTGCTCCTGGAAAAGTCTGTTAACGTGTCTGGGGATGGAGTGGAAATCCTCCAGAGACGTCTCCATGAAGCTCTCCTGGAGGTACTCTAAAAGCCTTTGCAGAAGGTTTCTGGGGAGAGCAGCCTTATTCCGTCCTCCATGGTAGGACACTTTACCACGCCATGCTAGTAGCAAGTAATCTGGTATCATTGCATGACAAAGCCTGGCAGCGTATGGTCCCGGTGTTTGCTGGCATTCAAGCAACATCCATTCTTTATCTCTCTGTGTTATCCTCAGGAGAGTGATATCATTCATGGTAACCTAGTTGAAATAGGGGAATTTAATTAAGGCGACATTGAGAGGTGGCCATTCCTACTGGGCTGTTTGCCTGTGGCTGAAAGGAAATCCTCCCCACAGTTAGCCACGCGGTGGAGGTGGGGGGGAGCTTTGGCGCTGAGCTGTTCATGTTTGGCTAGCAGGGATCTTCCCTGATACCAGCCACACAGTGGGGGGAGAGATAAAGCAATCATCCCAGAAAATTGAATGGCGGGGCGGGTTAGTTTGGTTTTTGCTGCTGCATGTTAACAGGAAAACCGCAGCACTAAATGGCCAACTCAACCTGCTTTGCTTGGTATGGGAGAGGAGGGCGCTGCTGTTATGAAGGTTGCAGAAGCCGAAAAACTATGGCTTACCATGGCCGCCTGCAAGCCGAATTCTGTTGCCCGGCACTGCGTGTGTGATCTCTAACACCAAAGCTGCAGGCACTCAATATAAGATGCAAAATGCGACCTCGTACCAAAATCACATGTGCTATGTAATGTGAATAGTTTAGTTCACCGTGGAAGAGTATAGCCATTGTTCTGTAAAATGTATCTTTTAAAATACTTCACTCCCTTTTTTTCACTCCAGCAGCTGCCAATGTTTCAAGCCTCCCTCCTCCGTCCCAAAGGCTATCTCAGATAAGGCGGCGAAAAAAATGCATGCGCTATGAAATGTTCTCTGAGCTCATGCAGTCATCTGGCACTGACAGAGCTCAGCAGAATGTGTGGAGGGACACAATAGCAGAGTACAGGAAAGTGGCCGATGAACGTGAGGAGAGGTGGTGGCAGGAAGATCAGAGGAGGCATGAGGCAATGCTGGGGCTACTGCAGTATCAAACGGACATCCTCCGGCCTCTGGTGGAGGTTCATGAACGGCAGCAGGATCACAGACTGCCGCTGCAGCCACTGTTTAATTGCCCTCCCTCCTCCCCAAGTTCCATAGCCTCCTCACCCAGACGCCCAAGAACATGGGGGGAGGGAGGTGGGGAGGCTCCGGGCACCCAACCACTTCACCCCAGTGGACAGCCCAAGCAACAGAAGGCTGTCATTCAAGAAGTTTTAAAGTGGCCTTTTCCTTCCCTCCTGCCTTCTTCCCACACCTCACCTGAGCTACCTTGTGAGTTATCTCCCTATTTTTATAATCAATTAATAAAGAATACATGTTTTTTAAATGATAATGACTTTATTTCCCTTGCAAGCAAGCTGTGATCGAAGGGGGAAGGGTGGGTGGCTAACAGGGAATTTAGAGGCAACCAAGGGGGCGGGTTTTCATCAAGGAGAAACAAACAGAAGTGTCACACGGTACCCTGGCCAGTCATGAAACTGGTTTTCAAAGCTTCTCTCATGTGCACCACTTCCTGCTGTGCTCTTCTAACCTCCCTGGTGTCTGGCTGCGCGTATTCAGCGGCCAGGCGATTGGCCTCAACCTCCCACCCTGCCATAAACGTCTCCCCCTTTACTCTCACAGAGATTGTGGAGCACACAGCAAGCAGCAATAACAATGGGAATATTGGTTTCGCTGAGGTCTGAGCGAGTCAGTAAACTGCGCCAGCGACCCTTTAAACATCCAAATGCACACTCTACCACCATTCTGCACTTGCTCAGCCTATAGTTGAACAGCTCCTGACTACTGTCCAAGGTGCCTGTGTACGGTTTCATGAGCCAGGGCATTAAGGGGTAGCCTGGATCCCCAAGGATAACTGTAGGCATTTCAACATCCCCAACAGTTATTTTCTGGTCTGGGAAGTAAATCCCTTCCTGCAGCCATTGAAACAGATCAGAGTTCCTGAAGACACGAGCATCATGAACCTTTCCTGGCCATCCCACGTTGATGTTAGTGAAATGTCCCTTGTGATCCACCAGTGCTTGCAGCACCATTGAAAAGTACCCCTTGCAGTTTATGTACTGGCTGCCCTGGTGGTCCGGTCCCAAGATAGGGATATGCGTTCCGTATATAGCCCCACCACAGTTAGGGAATCCCATTGCAGCAAAGCCATCTCGTGTGACCTGCACATTTCCCAGAGTCACTACCTTTGATAGCAGCAGCTCAATGATTATGTTGGCTACTTGCATCTCAGCAACCCCCACAGTAGATTTGCCCACTCCAAATTGATTTCCGACTTACCGGTAGCTGTCTGGCATTGCAACATTCATTCATAAAATCGGTTACCCCAGAAACTGGCTAATTGAGTTTCACTTTCAATCCAATTGCTGCTTAAATCACTGAAACTTGAACTCTTTCAACATTGTAACTTCTGCTCACTGTTTGCCATTTCTTACACTTGTCCATATTGTAACTCAAACTCCATTTTAACTTGTCCCAAACTCCATTTTAAAAATGCTTACTCCATTTTGCAAAAGCCTAATGTAATCTTATTAGTTTAGTTTAGATGTGTGAATGAGGTATGTATGGATGGTGGAATCAACCTCCAGCCCCAGCCTGTCCTGATAAAATAAAGTGTAAACACCCAGTGGCTGAAGATGCGGACAACAGCCCTGACAAAGTAAGAGGAGTCCACCCTCAAAAGAAAAGAACAAAAGTACAATTGAAGAAACATCAGAGCCAGGTCCTAGGCTGAAAGTCATGTCTGCAATTGACGGGTGATCAATCACACCAAACCCAGAGGCAGCGTGACACAGCAAGACCTATAGACTCTAGATTGAAACTAAAGCCTACAAAAAAGGATGGATGAGATGGAAGACTTTGGGGAGGGTACCATTCTGCAGCCAACATGGAAGGGCATCGGTGCATGCCCAACGGAGACCCAGCTCTTCCTTGTGCCCGGCTTTCCTGGCCAGTTAGCCGTCACAGGCATCGAACCCAAGATATTAGTTATTGGTTATAAATCAAATTGTGTTATCATAATAAACATGGCATTTTCTTGTCTTGTCCCCTGAAATGATCCTGTGTAGTTTTCTTGGCATAACAACCTTGAGAGATCATCAAGTCCAGTCCCCTGCCCTCACAGCAGGACCAAGCACCATCTAGATCATCCCTGGTAGATGTCTATCCAACCTGTTCTTAAATATCTCCAGTGATGGGGATTCCACAACCTCCCTAGGCAATTTATTCCAGTGTTTCACCACCCTGACAGTTAGGAAGTTTTCCTAATGTCCAACCTAAACCTCCCTTGCTGCAATTTAAGTCCATTGCTTCTTGTCCTATCATCAGAGCTCAAGGAGAACAATTTTTCTCCCTTCTCCCTGTAACACCCTTTTAGATACTTGAAAACTGCTATCATGTCCCCCCTCAGTCTTCTCTTTTCTAAACTAAACAAGCCCAATTCTTTCAGTCTTCCCTCATAGCTCATGTTTTCTAGGCCTTTTATCGTTTTTGTTGCTCTTCTCTGGACCTTCTCCAGTTTTTCCACATCTTTCTTGAAACGTGGTGCTCAGAACTGGAGACAATACTCCAGTTGATGCCTAATCAATGCAGAGTAGAACGGTAGAATGGCCTCTTGTATCTTGCTCACAACACTCCTGTTAATGCATCCCAGAATCATGTTTGCTTTTTTTGCAACAGTGTCACACTGTTCACTCATATTTAGCTTGTAGTCCACTATGACCCCTAGATCCCTTTCTGCAATACTTATATTTACTTAGTCAATAATCCAAATAGTTTTCTTTAAAACCATAGGCACCAACTTTTCCCGGCGCTGGTGGGTGCTCAACCCCCATTCCCCGCCCTGACTCCACCCCTGCCCCACCCCCATTCCAACCCCTTCCCCAAAGTCCCTCCCCAACTCCACCTCCTCCCTGCACCTATTGGACCCCTTCCCCAAATCCCTGTCCCGGCCCCGCCTCTTCCCCAAGGGCGCCGCATTCCCCCTCCTCTCCCTCCCTCCCAGCACTTGCCTCCGAAACGCTGTTGGCTTCAGGAGGGGAGAATCGGGAAGGGTTTCCCTGGAAATGTGTGCAGAGCACTCACTAATTTTTACCCCTGAGTGAGATCCAGCCCCGGAGCACCCCCCGAGTAGGCCCTATGATTACAGAACAATGTGAACATCTCTTTGATCTCTAGGCCTCCATAGTAAAGCCCTCCATAATTCAGCTGCTGAATTTTTCAAAAAAATTTTTTCTTAAAAGGGGGGCTTCAAAAAAAAGGGGTTTCCCGAAAAATTTTTTTTTTACGACAGTAGGCTAGATTCTGATCAGGAGAATCAACGTGTAATTGCAAATTGTGGAATCATTTCAATTGCAGTCTAAAATGTCTGTCCACATTTTCTGTTTCCACATTTCTGCAGGGAAACATTAGAGAATATTTCGTTCCGGAAAACATCTTAACCCCTGTAGCTCAGCATCAGCTCATTTATATTAAGGGTGAAAGATCAAGTTACAACACATAATGTGAAAATGTTCAGTCCATGACGAAACAGAAAGATCTCCAAAAATATCATGTCCAAGAATAATCTAGAGATCATGTAGCCACTGTGCTGGCCCTGTATATGATGGAAACCACTTCAAGCCAGGGGGTGCTGCATCCCCAGTACCCCTAGTTCCAGCACTTAAAACTTATTTTTAAAGGCTCTGTATCTGACTGAAAATATTTCTTAGACCAAGAGTCCTGGTCAGTGTTTGAAACCCAAACATTGGAGCATTAGGACATTGAAAGTGAAATGAATTAAAGTTGTAGAACTGCTTTCTTTCCAGTGTCTTGTGGTGTTTAGATGTTGCTTGTAATTATTAGAATTGGGAGCACTGGCTGTTGGGAGTCTGAAAGGACAGGAAACAGGAAGGAGGGGGAGGAGTTAAAGAGGCTGAAGGAGAGCTACTGGGGTGATATTTAAAAGTTTTTCTCTGCAAGGAAGAGAGCTAGAAACATCCTTTGTTTAGAAAACAGAAGCTGAGAAGTTGAATCCTTGTCAAACCCAACTTCCACTGGTGAAACAAGGGAACTTTTTACAGAACAGAAGCTGTTCAATGATCAGTGCAGCTTAAAACACAAGAGCTGCAGGCCTGTCTATATTTGCGAGTTGGGAGTTTGCCCTAACACTTAGTCCCGCTCTGTCACACCAGTGCAGTCCCCAGGGCTTCAGAGCTGAAATTCAACTGGGAGTTGGGCTCCTTGGAGAATCCCAGCTCATATTTGGAGCCCGGTTGGTTTCTGGGATTAGTATCACTTCTGTAATCTGAAAACCACCTTAATTGATTCACCACCATGTGACTCCAGTTTCCTGTTATGTGCTGTGCTACTAATTAGTGAATGAATAAATACCAGTCAAACTCAGATAATTGAGGTCTCTCTCTAATTTATAAAATGACTGAATTGGAAACAAGTTGGAATATGACACTCTCCCTATTTCCGTTGTTCGGTTTCATTCCCTTGGTGCCCCTGATGTCATAAATCCATTAGGACAAACAGTCACCTTGGGTTTGGGTGGAAAAACATCCCCCTACCCACCCTTCTGAACCCTCAGAATGAAACCTCCCAAATAATTTCTCTTTCTCCAGGAAAAAAATCAGGCCCATTGCAAGACTTTGAGGGAAGAGAGAGAAAAACTGCAGGGATTTCAAGTGACTGGAGAGGGGAAAAGCTGGGAGTATCTGGTAGGTGCCTGTTGTTTCTGACCTGCTGAGACTTGTGGTGAGAGGTCTGTTTTTAGGCAGATTCCTCTGTGGGCTTGGTGAATGTGGGCATCAGTACATTTCTCCATGATCCTAGATTTTCTGTGTTAGGTTCATGTGCAGAATCTAAGCTCTTGTGTCAGGGAATGAGTTAATTTCTAGCCCTTGTGACTTTCCCTGTGTCTGCGTCATTTCTTGGGTTGGTGAATTCTTTGATTTCTTTTTTCCCTTGGAACTTCTGTCAGTGTAATGCTGAGTCCTGCCTCCTGCTGCTCTGGATCTCCATTCTCAGAGGCCATTGATAACACAACGTCCTAAGCACGTCAGACATGGAAACATCCCTTTCCAGATACATTGGGGAGAAATGAAAGAGGTGTAAGAGAATCCTCTCCCAAGTAACCACAGGGTAGAATCAAGTGTCAGAAATCTTAGGTTTGCAAAGAAATTCTCCCTCCTGCACACTCAGCACTCCATAAAAGACCCCAGGCTGCTTCCTTGTCCCTGACCAGCCCTTTCCCTGTTGCTTTACAGAAACAGACACAAGAGGAGAGGCAGAAAATTGTTTCTGAATTTCAGCAACTGAGGCAGTTCCTGGAGCAATAAGAGTGACTCC